GGGGGTGCTGGGCACGGGGGCAGGGGATGGGAGGCAGGGGACACAGGGTCAGGGCCAAGCCCGAGCTGCTCTGATTCAGCCAGGGGCCACTAAGTCTGATTTCTGGAAGGTTCCTCCCACCCTTCTCTGGCCTCCGGTTGGAGGCTCACACACTTCCAGACCGGGGGCCCTGGCACTGCACAGGACAAGCCAGAGCCAGTGGGCCTTCTCTGTGCCGGAACCCCAGGAATGCTGGGGCCTCTCCAAGGGCCTGGGGGTCCCTTTGTCCCCAAGTGCTGCCCTGTGCTGCCCACGGGCACTGTTTGGATGGCCAGCAAGGGCTCTGGACGGCTCTGGGTCTCCGCACCAAAGGGGGACACAGTGGGGTGGACCAAGGTCTGAACCTTGGGGACCCCGCCACCCGTCACCAGCCCCTCACCTGCTCTGGCAGGACTCCGGAGGTAGTCGGGGCACCCCGCCTCAGCTTCCAGCACTTTCCGAGCAGGTGTGGCCTCCTGAGAAGGCGCATCCTGGCAATGGGCTCCCCGACTCCGCCGCGCCGGAGCCCTCTAGCCACTGACAAGTCTCTCTCCCCACAGCAAACACAAGGCACTGGGTCCTGCCGAGGAGCTGGCCCTGCTGACCCACACAGGCCCTGCCGGCCCACCCGGGAGAAGGCTCCCCGCGGGGCCCGCCACGCTGGTGAAGAACTGCTTTCTCCCCCTCAGAGAGTACTTCAAGTACTTTTCCCAGAACTCCTTCCTCTTTACAAGTGAGTCGCGCCGTGGAGAAAAGGACGCGTCCTAGAATGCGGACGGACGGACGGATGGCGCTGACTCCTTCCTTCGGAGACTGCGCCCGGGGTGGCTCTCCTGCCTCTGGGATCCTCGTGGAGCTGCAGGCTCGGCTCCTGTTTGGCTCGCAGTGTGTGGGGCTCCCGATCCCTGGCTGGGGGAGGGGCACTGCTGCGGACCAGATCTCCATGCGTGTGTTACACTTCTGCTGGAGCGCTGCATCCCTGCTGTGAAATTGGAAATACACTGGGCAGTACTCGGTCCGTGGGCCATGCTTCCGTGTGTCTGTGGGCGGGCGGTCTCCGTGGGCCAGGCTTCCGTGTGTCTGTGGGCGGGCGGTCTCCATGGGCCAGGCTTCCATGTGTCTGGGAGGGCGGTCTCCGTGGGCCATGCTTCCGTGTCTGTAGGCATGTGTAGCAGACGTGGCTCTTTCCCCGTGAGCTGCCCTGCTGCTGCCACGCTGGCAGGGACTCAGCGAAGTCTGGGCGCCCCCGCTGGGATTTGGAGCCTGGAGGTTGGCTCTGCTGTGCCTTGTGGTGGGTGAAGGGGAAGGAGCTGGGGTTAAAAGTGGACCCATTGGGGCTGGGAAGGTGGCTCAGTGGTAGAGCGCTTGCCTTGCATGCCTGAGGCCCTGGGTTCGATTCCCCAGCACCACATAAGCAAAAAGAAAAAAGCCGGAAGTGCCGCTGTGGCTCAAGTGGTAGAGCGCTAGCCTTGAGCTAAAGAGCTGAGGGATAGTGCCCAGGCCCAGAGTTCAGGCCCCATGACTAGACCCCCCCCAAAAAAGTGGACCCATTGAAATTCTCTAAAACACACATCGAAACGAAGTGCTGGTGGCTCATCCAGTACTCTTAGCTACTCAGGAGGCTGAGATCTGAGGATCAAGGTTCGGAGTCAGTCCCGGCACCAAAAAGCTGGAGTGGGAGCTGCAGCTCCAAGTCTAAGCCCTGACCCGAGCCCCGGTTATGGCAGAAGAAGAAAAAACAATCCAGGAGGAGAGAAGGCCATACTCCTATCTCTGGGACAGGCCTCTGGGTACAGGGTTCGTGTCCAAGGCTGCTGAGCAGGCCGGAGAGCCACAGGACACAGAGCAGGAGAAGAGATGGACGTGGTCAGGAGCAAACCCTCAGGGTTAGGCTGAGCTCAGAGGGTCTCCCCCCAGACATGAGGAGACTGACGAGCGGGCTGGAGCCTGTGACGCCGCTGAGCACTGCGAGAGCACTACACGGGGCCCCAGAGCCCAGCAGCTTCCGGGCACCGCAGCACGCCATGAGCCTGCCAGGGACGCGGCCGGAACGCTGTCCATTCCTATCACCCAGCTTCAACACACAGCATGCGCCATGCCTGTAGATTCTTCCAGTGTGTGTGTGTGTGTGTGTGTGTGTGTGCGCACGTGCGCGCACGTGGCAGCTTCCAACACAGAGCATGCGCCCTGCCTCGAGATTCTTCCAGTGTGTGTGTGTGTGTGTGTGTGTGTGCGTGCGCTAGCTTCCAACACACAGCATGCGCCCTGCCTCGAGATTCTTCCAGTGTGTGTGTGTGTGTGTGTGTGTGTGCGCGTGCGCGCACGTGGCAGCTTCCAACACAGAGCATGCGCCCTGCCTCGAGATTCTTCCAGTGTGTGTGTGTGTGTGTGTGTGTGTGTGTGCGTGCGCGCGCGCTAGCTTCCAACACACAGCATGCGCCATGCCTGGAGATTCTTCCAGTGTGTGTGTGTGTGCGCGCGCGCGCGCGCGCGCGCGCACGCATGCGTAGTTGCACACACCAGTCCTGGCGCTGGAACTCAGAGCCTGAGCACTGCCCCTGAGTTGGTTTGCTCAAGGCTACCACTCTATCACTTGAGCGACAGCTTCACTTCTGGCTTCTTGGTGGTTACTTGGGAAATGAGAGTCTCTTGGACTTTCCTGTCCTAGCTGGCCTGGAACCACAATCCTCAGATCATAACCTGAGTAGCTAGGATCACAGGCGTGAGCCCCTGGCACCCTGGAAATGCTGTATACTCTAATCCAATTTACAATCCCCATTTGTGATCAACTGTGATCAACTGAATGACCCCACCTCCCTGCAAAAACAGAGGGGGGGGGAGAGGGGAGGGAGAGAGGGGAGGGAGAGAGGGGGGAGAGAGGGGGGAGAAGGGGGGTCGGTCCCTGGCTGAACACCTGCAGCTTCACGTCACTCACTGGCAGAAAGAGTTTTGCGAATGTGGTTTAAGATGGGGAGAGCACCCTAGAACATCTGGGGGATTCCCACACCACAAACGTTCATAAAAGGAGGCGGACAACCGCACACAGAGGTGATGTCCAGACCGACAAGGCAAGCCCGGTGACAGGCTGCCGCCAGCCACCAGGACCTGCTCTGTGGCCTCCTCCGCTCTAGGCTCCAATAAAGCACTGATGCACTTCTAGCCTTCAGGACTGCGAGGAAAACAAAGGCGGTTTTTTTGTTTTTGATTTTTTTATTGCTGACCCTGGGTCTTGAACTCAGGGCCTGGCCGCTGTCTCTGAGCTCTTCAGCTCAAGACTAGCACTCTACCACTTGAACCATCTAGTTTTTTCTGTGTACGCGGTACTGAGGAATCGAACCAGGGCTTCATGCATGCTAAGCAAGCACTCTACCACTGAGCCACCTTCCCAGCCCAAAGGTTGTTTTGCTCAGACACCAAGGATGTGGTGGTTAGCCAGTTACCCAGGAGGTGACCAGACCCTCATGGGACTGGCTTGCTGGCCAGGCACGGCCCCACACACCGACCCGTGCCCGCCAGACACATCCAAGAGCCCTCTGCACCCCAGTCTGCCTGAGCACACCTCCCCCAGGGTCCAGGGCTGAAAGCCCCTCTCTGCATACCCCAGCCCCGAGCCCTCCCGCCCACCAGAGACAGTCAAGACTTGGGGGAGTGGGCCTACGCTTTCCCTCAGCTGCTCATTTGTCCTGAGAATCGTGGGATTTGGCGTGGGTCATGGTGGCTCACACCCCAAATCTCAGCAGTTAGGGGAGACTGAGGCAGGAGCATCTGGGATTCCAGGTCTGTCTGAGCAAGAGAAGGTGTCACTGCCTGCTCCACGGGGGAGAGGCCCACGTCACACAGTGCTCAGAGCGCGCTGGGGTCAAGGGTCACGCGCGTCCCTGGGCTGAGCTTGTAGGGAATTCAGGGCCTTCACTTGAGCCACACCTCCACTTCTGAGCTTTTGCTGGCTGACTGGAGATAAGAATCTCAGACTTTCTGCCTGGGCTGGCTTTGAACCAGGATCCTCAGGTCTCAAGGCTCCGAGCAGCTAGTATTAAAGGTGTGAGCCACCAGTGCCTGGCTTTCTTTTCTTTTTCCCCCTAAGCCTGGGGCATGAACTCAGGGCATGAACACCGTGTTCCCCGCAGCTCTTCTGGCTTTTTGGAGGTTAACTGGAGATAATCTCATGGACTTTCCTGCCCAAACTGACTTCAAACTGCGATTCTCAGATCTTAGCCTTCTGGTTAGCTAGGGTTACCAGCACAGGCCCCTGGCGCCCGGCTCTTCTTTTGAAGCTCAGGCCCTCAGTGCTGGTCAGGGCTTGATCTTCCTGCCTGGCACTGAGTAACAACAGGCTACCAAGAGGCTTGGTTCCAAGGGAGTGCCGGCCGTTCCTCAGCGCTTGGCTGTGGCCCCAGCCCGGCTGGGGGGACACACCCTCCTGCCTGCTCCCTGGGGAGGGGGAGCTTTTCTCCCTCCATCTGGGAGACAGAGGGCCTGGCCTGACGTAGAGAAGGGAAAGAGAGCCAGCAAGCAGCTCGACCCAGGCCCAGGGCCCCGGCCGCGCAGGGCTGGGCTTCCCAGAGCCTCTGCTGGGGCCACAGGCCTTGACCCGGGCCAGGTCTCTCTGCCTTGGCCTTTCCGCTCACGGCTGGCATTCTGCTCCCTACGGCACCTCCAGTTCCTGCCCTGGGGTGGCTCGTTGGAGATAAGCATCTCGAGAACTTTCCTTCCCGCGCTGGCCTCCTTCCAGCTCCGGGGCAGCC